GAGGGAGGGGTAGGAGGAGGAGGAGGAGGAGGAGGGTAGGGAGGAGGAGGAGGAGGAGGGGGGGAGGAGGAGGAGGAAGGGTAGGGAGGAGGAGGAGGAGGAGGAGGAGGAGGGGGTAGGAAGGAGGGGGAGGATGGGTAGGAGGAGGAGGAGGATGGGTAAGAGTAGGAGGAGGATGGGTAAGAGGAGGAGGAGTTGAGAGAGGGGATGGGAAGGAGGAGGAAGAGGTGGGAGGAGGAAGGGTAGGATGAGAGAGAGGAGGAGGAGGTGAGAAGGGAATGGATAGGAGGAGGAGGTAAAAGTGAGAGAGGGATGGAGGAAGAGGAGGAGGATGAGTACGCAAGAAGGGACACGGGTAGGAGGAGAGGGAAGAGGAAAAGGGAGGAGGAGGAGAAATAAATGGTAAGAAAGGAAGTAATGTAAGTTGAGGACGGAGAGAAAGACAGACATTTAGACAGATAGCTATTTAAACAGACAGACATATACTTCTGGCATATCCCCACTAAATTATCACTCCCCGCACATGTACCACAGACAGACAGACAGAGATTTCGACAGACAATCAAGAGGAAATAGACAGGCATTTAAAAAGGCAATTACGAGATGGACAGAGAGGCATTTAAACATACCAGCCTCTTGCATATAATTTGTTTCGGGGATTTTTATCGAGTCGTGAAAATAATATGTAAAGAAAAACAAAACAGCGATAAAGATATTATTGTAATTTGGAATTCGTGGTTAAAAAACAAATTGCTGTCGAATATTGAGTTGTGGGCGAGGAGCGGAAGACGCCAGTCATGGTAACAAGAGAGGAGGAGGGGGAAGAGGAGGAGGGGAGGAGGAAGAGAAGGAGGGGGAGGAGGAAGAGGAGGAGGAGGAAGGTCTTTTATTTAGCGACTGATGCGTCGATTAATAGCTTATTTTGGGGAAGAGGAGGAAGAGGAAGGTAAGGAGGAAGAGGAAGGGAAGGAGGAAGAGGGGGGAGAAGGAGGAGGGTTCTTGTCTCTCACGAATGATACGTCCATCATAAATTTATTTAGGCGTGTTAGTGTGGTTAAGAACACCTGGGGAAGGGTTAACACACCTGTCCCCCCTCTTCCTTCCTCCCTCCCTCCCATATCCTCTCCCTCTTTTTCCTCCTCTCTCTCCCTCCCAGTCCCTCTCTACCCCGTCTCCCTTCCTTTCCCTCGCTCCCAGTCCCTCTCTACCCCCTCTCCCTCCTCTATCTTTCCCTCGTCCTCCCCCCCATCTCTTCTCCGTCCTCTTCCTATCATTCCCTCCCTCCCATCTGTCCTTTCCTTCCCCCTTTCCCTCTCTCCCTCCTCTCTCTTTCCCTCTATCTCTCTCCCTCTCACTCTACTTTTCCCTCTCTCCTTCTTCTTCTCCCTCTCCCTTCCTCTCGCTTACGCTCTTCTTCTCCATCACCCTCTCTCTTCCTTTCTCTCTTCTCCTCTTCCTCCTCCTCTCCCTCACACCTGTACATTGTCAGGTTAATTATCTTAGGTTCCATGTCGTTTTAATTTTGTTGTTATCAAGTTTTTCATCAAGTCTCGTTCATCGTTCCTTACAGAGAGAAAAATATGGCCCCCAAAGAAAAAAATGACCTTGCACTGATAAAACACCGAAGCATGGCACTGGATAAAGAGAAGTATGTCCCTCTAAACAAAGAAGAACGACCCTCCACAAACAAACACACAACCCTCTATAGACACTATGTATAACACTAAACAAAGACAGGAAACAAATACTCTATAGTCCCTCCCTTAGACATAAACAGTACCCCCCCTCCCTAACACACAGCTTCATGTAGTATAAGAGGTAAGCGTCGAGTCTTGGTGAAAGAGGATCACATCTCCCGTTGAATATGACAAGAGGAACCCCAGTGGCCACTCCAAGGTCCAGGGTTTATTATTAATGACATCGTAATTACATATCTAATACACCGCCTAATTTGCATACTGGCCAGACACACGCCATTACTCCTCACCCCCACCTCTGTAATGATTGGCAGGATGAGATTTTCTGATTTCACTTGAAGATTAGTCTCTCTCTCCAATCCCCTTCCCCTCCATCCCCTCCTTCCCTCCCTCCCCCCTCCCCAGCCACACCAGTTTATTTCACCTGATGATCAGATACCTTAACTCTGCTTGTGGGGTTAGGTTAAATTAGGTTAGCGTTAGGGTAGTTATTCTTATGGTGAAATAGATTAGGTTAGGTTAGGTTAGGTTGGGTTAAGGTAAGGTAGGTTAAGTTAGGTTAGGTTAGGTTAGGTTAGGTTAAGTTGGGTTAAGGTAAGGTAGGTAAAGTTAGGTTAGGTTAGGGTGGTTAATCATTAGGTATAATATGTTAGGGTGCCTAATCTTCATGCGATTCAATTTCCCCCCCTGAACTAGTGACACAGGGAGGGAGAAAGATTTATTTATTCTATAACTCAAAAGTAGATGAATGGATCAACCTGGATTGCTTTATTAACTTACAAGATAAAGATTATTAATAAGGGGATAAAAAAAATGGATACTTTGCTGCATTGAGACTCTACCCCTTAATGGATGCTGAAATACGTTGAGACTCTACCTTGTAATGGATACGTAATTGCACTAAGACTCTACCTTCTGTTACGTTTTAGTTAATGAAAGAAAATTTGGAGAAAAAATGACGTAAGGATTTTTGGCTTGTTGCTGTGTTATCTAGGAGGGAGGTAAGGGGGGAGGGAGAGAAGGAAGGGAAGATGAGGGAAAGAGAAGTGGGGGAGAGATGATAAAGAGAAAGGGGGATAGGGAGGTGATGGACGTGAGGGAGAGGGGTGATAAAGATAGAGGGAAATGGAAGGGAAATGGTAGATGAAGGAGAGAGATAGGAAGGTAAGGGAGGGAGGGAGGAAGGGAGAAAGATAATAAAAAGGGATGTGAGAAAAAGAGAAGGAGATGGAAGTGAGAGAGATGAAGAAGGGGAGAGAGAGAGAGAGAGAGAGAGAGAGAGAGAGAGAGAGAGAGAGAGAGAGAGAGAGAGAGAGAGAGAGAGAGAGGTCCGGGCACCACCAGTAAGCCATGCATAATTCATGTCAACAGCCAAATATTTAAATTGATAGCAAGAGCGCTGGTCACTTATGAGTCTCGCTGACGCTCCCTCCCTTCAATCCCCCTCCATCCTTCTCTCCCTTCAATCTCCTCCCTTGCCTCACTCCTTCATTCCCCTCCCTTGCCTCCTTCCCTCCTTCAATCTCCACCCTTCCTCTCTCCCTCCTTCAATTTCCTTCAATCTTCCTCCCTCAATCTCCTTCCTTCCCCTCCTTCAATCTTCCCTTCCAAATCCCTCCCTCCCCCAACTCCCTTTGCCTCCTCCCTCCTTCAATCCCTCCTCCCTCTCCTTCACTCTCCTTGCCTCCTCCACCTTCAATCCCATAACTTCCTCCCTCCGTCAACACCCCCTTCATACCTTCCTTCCTTCCTTTCTATCCTCCCTTTCCTCCATTCCTTTTATCCTCCCTCCCTCCTCCCCTCAAGCCCTTCACATGAGTTCACTAAGCCAACACAACAAACTCGAAAGAATTCAAATCGTATTAAAAATCAAAACAATTATTGAAGTCAAAGTTCCCCTCTGGCTCAGTCTTAACATACAAGGAGTCTGTCACCCAAGGCTTAGAAAATGTATCTGTTTCTATCACAACAACGATGAAAAAGATATTGACAAGATACACAAACTAACTATTATTCACGATGGTAATTTCTGAGCCACTTTGGGTATTGTGAATGGCTTTTGAATATTATTGTATATGGTCTATCAATCTTCGTTATTTTCCTTCTCCTCCTCCTCCTCCTTCTCTTCTCTTCTCTTTCTACCATTTATTACACTTACTACTACTACTACAACTACAACTAATAATAATAATACAACTACTACTACTTCTACTACTTCTAAAGCTACAGGGTACTTCAGGGTACTACTACTACATCATCTACTACTACTAACTGATCCCCGTAGCTCTCCTTACATTATGTATTAAAGAAGAAACGAATCGAAGTACCATTGTGTCGTCAGCCCCCACGAACACACCATCACCCCCCCACACACACCACCTGAGCTCACCTCCCCCAGCAGCGCCTGCCACTGGGTCCTCACTACCAGGTCTGAGCTCATCACTAATGCAAACCTCAATTTCCTTGGATGGGCGGGCGTGGGAAAGTGTAGGATGGGCGGCCAGAGGATGAGAGGGATGGAGAGGCGTGGGATGGTCGATGTGAGTATGGAAGGGGGATAGACAGGAAAGGGAGGAGGAGGGGGGAGGAGTAATGTGGGATGGTCAATGTGAGGATGGAAGGGGACCAGACGGGAATGGATAGGAGGGAAGAAAGTGGGGGGGCGGGTGGCGTGGAAATGGAAGGTGTGGAAAAGGTGCTGGATGGTGTAGTATGATCTCAAGAGCTACTGGGTTCTGGGGTGGTCTAAGAACTTACTGGGTTCTGAGAATTGAAGGTCTAAGAACTTACCACAGGTTCTGGTGTGAAGGTCTAGAACTTACTGGGTTCTGGTGAAGGTCACAAGAACTTACTGGGTTCCTGAGTGTAAAGGCCACAAGAACTTACTGGGTTCTGAGGTGCAGTCTGAAACTTACTGGGTTCTGAGGGTGAAGGTCTAGAACTTACTGGGTTCTGAGGGTGAAAGGTCACAGAACTTACTGGGTTCTGGTGAAGGCCACAGAACTTACTGGAGTTCTGAAATTGAAGGTCCTGGGAGCTTACTGGGTTCTGGTGAAGGCCACAGAGCTTACTGGGTTCTGAGAGTGAAGGTCTGCAGAGCTTTACTGGGTTCTCAAATTGAAGGTCACAAGAACTTACTGGGTTCTGAGGGTGAAGGCCACAAGAACTTACTGGGTTCTGAGTGTGAAGGCCACAAGAACTTACTGGGTTCTGAGGGTGAAGGTCACAAGAACTTACTGGGTTCTGAGGGTGAAGGTCACAAGAACTTACTGGGTTCTGAGGGTGAAGGTCACAAGAACTTACTGGGTTCTGAGGGTGAAGGCGGCGCTGGTGATGGAGGAAGGCAGTTTCAGTCCCTTGATAATCTCTTGCCACAACTTCTTGTTGATGACGTCCACGAGGCCGCCGCGAGCCACCACCAGGTTGTACAGCTCGTAGAGGTCCAGCACCTGCTTGGCCATGATGGGCAGCCGGTTGATGGGCGTACCTGATGGGCGGGAGAACAGTGTTAGTGATGGGTGTACCTGATGGGCGGGAGAACAGTGTTAGTGATGGGTGTACCTGATGGGCGGGAGAACAGTGTTAGTGATGGGTGTACCTGATGGGCGGGAGAACAGTGTTAGTGATGGGTGTACCTGATGGGCGGGAGAACATAGTGTTAGTGATGGGTGTACCTGATGGGCGGGAGAACAGTGTTAGTGATGAGTGTACCTGATGGGCAGGAGGGAACAGTGTTAGTGATGGGTGTACCTGATGGGCGGGAGAACAGTGTTACTGATGGGTGTACCTGATGGGCGGGAGAACAGTGTTAGTGATGGGTGTACCTGATGGGCAGAGAACAGTGTTACTGATGGGTGTACCTGATGGGCGGGAGAACAGTGTTGATGATGGGTGTACCTGATGGGCGGGAGAACATAGTGTTAGTGATGGGTGCACCTGATGGGCGGGAAAACATAGTGTTGTGATGGGTGTACCTGGTGGGCAGGGAGAACAGTGTTACTGATGGGTGGCTTGCCTGATGTACAGTGTTAGTGATGGGTGTACCTGATGGGCGGGAGAACAGTGTTACTGATGGGTGTACCTGATGGGAGGAGAACAGTGTTGGTGATGGGTGTACCTGATGGGCAGGAGAACAGTGTGCTGATGGAATTGTACCTGATGGGCAGGGAGAACAGTGTTGCCCAGTGGGTGTACCTGATGGGAGGGAGGGAGCAGTGTTAGTGATGGGTGTACCTGATGGGCAGGAGAAGACAGTGTTACTGATGGGTGTACCTGATGGGCGGGGAGAACAGTGTTAGTGATGGGTGTACCTGATGGGAGGGAGAACACAGTGTTACTGATGGGTGTGCCTGATGGGCAGAGAGGAGGGCTTATAGTGGTGGCGTGATGGGTGTACCTGATGGGCGGGAGAACAGTGTTACTGATGGGTGTACCTGATGGGCGGGAGAACAGTGTTAGTGATGGGTGTACCTGATGGGCGGGAGAACATAGTGTTAGTGATGGGTGTACCTGATGGGCGGGAGAACAGTGTTACTGATGGGTGTACCTGGTTGACACAAGGTTATCCTCATGTTATTAACATTATTCGGTTTACAACAGTCAGTCACTCAGTCAACTTATAACACCAGCATGAGGACGAGTCAGTAAGCCAGTCATTCAGTTAATTTACACCTTCAGATACAGCCAAACAGTCAGTCAGTCAACTTAAAGCACCAGCACCACCAGTCAGGGAGGCAGTACAAGCTGAGGTGCCAACTGGTGCCAGTCATCAAAAGTGCCACGAGTGATAAATGAAGCGTGTGGACGATGGTAGAGCGTCACTGTTATTAATGGACCCACAACAATTAGTGCCGCTGCCAATATGGAGAGCGGTGGGCGGCAGGGTGGCAGTGGTGGGCGGCCGGGAGGGCGGGGGGGGGGGGCGGCAGCGGTGGCAGAGCAATATCACTTCCCAGCTCACCACCCCGTCTGATTAATGGTGGTCCCTCTCCAACACCCCAGCCACCCTCACCACCCTAGCCACCCACACACCCACCAAGTTCCCTCCCTCTCTCCCTCACAATATAACACATGGACTCCATATTGCATTTTCGTGTCACTCCCTACGCGTCCCATCATGAATTTGAATTATTTTTTTGTAGTTCTAACCCGGGAGTGACTAGTTTATTGTGCACCCTCAATTCATCTTGTAAGCTACATCAGAGGTCAGGAACAGCGTTTATCAGACCCCAATAATCAGGTTAATATATCAAGTTCTTAACACAGTGGTTAACTTTTCTACTATAGGTGTTAAATATATAGTCTCAATATATATTCGCTATATTATCACATATAATATACTAAGACCTCTCGCTATACACTTCTATTTTCTCATAGTTTAGGACCTTTTCACTATAGATAGATGGCCATTAATACTGTCACATCATACAGGGACCAGCACCATACACACACCATACAGCATCATACAAACACTTTTCTTCCTTACACACACACACACACACACACACACACACACACACACACACACCTTCCTACCAACAGTGGACAAAGCCCTCCAAGCATCCCTCTGTCGACCGTCCTCTTCCTCCTCCTCCTTCTGTTTTTCATCCTCATTTTTATCTCCTCCTCCTCCTCCTCCTCCTACACTATCCTTCTCTGTATTCATTTACCAATCCATCTCTTTCCCTACCAGGTGACGGAGACAACAGCTCAGGTCGGTAGGTAAGTAGGTACCAGTGACGCCAATTCCGTAACATTCATCCTCCTATCCCTCCCTCTCCTCCATCCCTTCTCCCAATCCCTCGCTCTCCCTCATCCCTTCCCCCAATTCCCCCTTTTCTTAACCCTTCCCACAATTCCTCCCTCTCTTCCCTTCTTCCAATCCCTCCCTCTCCGCTCCCCTCTCCCTACCACCCAGGTTGACTCCTTAATTACACAGGTAGGTAATGAGACGTGGAGAATTATCCACATTTCAAGTATTTTCCTCTCATACAAAAAAAGAAAAATAAGAGAGAGACATTTTAAACCCCTGACAAAAAAATAATAATTAGTAACATCCGCTCATAAGTCACACCGAAAGTTAATATCCATCATCACATTAACATGCTAATTACGTTAATATAAACGCTCCCCGGTGCTCATAAACTGACGCGGTGGGACAAAAAAAAAAAGAGAACACACACACACACTACACTGGGGTACAGGAGGGGTGGTGGTGGCTGCCAGACTCAAGACCACCAGCAGGAGACGGACAGAGAGAACTGGTCACAAGTCCCACTCGAGGTTGTTATTATTGCTCCTACATACTCCAGGTTAAATTAAGTCTTGGGTCATTTTTAAGGTCAAGTGTGGCCATATTTCGGGGTCATTATTTGTGGTGTAACTTGTGGCCATCACCTGATTCCTCGCCCCAAGGTCTTCATCAAGTTATAATCTAGGTTAAATGTGGCCATGTTTCACGACACAACCAGATGATACCTCTGGTCATTGTGGCCATCTGGGTACTAATTCCAGAGAGGTGGACCTGGTAAAAAGCGGCCATGTTTCAGGTCAGAGCCAACTAACATATCAGCTTTACTTACGTGTAATTGAAACTGAAGCGGATTATTCAACTATTTTTTTCTCACAAACACAAAGTGAATATCAACATGGCTGAGCCTCTTGGTACCTCCTCAACTGGTTATAATAGGTTGAGTTGAAGGTTCCATTAGACTAGACCTCAATCATAATAACAAAGCTAAATTAGATATGGGGCCCCTTAGGACTGAAAGCTAATTGTAAATAGAACTAGGGGGCCCAGTCAGCCATCAAGAGGAACCAAAGGGGTGCCAGGCGTGCCAACCTCATTCCTGAGTGAGTACCAAGAAAAAATTGCACTAAATTACTCTACTGGGTCACTATTCTCTCCACCATTCTATATAACTACTGTAATATACTGTACCGCCACTCATATAAGCGAAGAGTCAGTACCCTAGCCTAACCCAACCCAACCCAACCACCATAATATAGCTTAACTGATAACTAAGAACCAGTAATGTGTGATGAAATACTGAATGAGAACACGACATTACCTGAGGTCATTAGTCTACCTGTCGATACACTTACCTGGTGTAATTTCTCACTGTTTGTTATATTTTGATGAAGAGTTAGATAATACTGTGTTATATGGAGTGTAATTATACCCTCATTACTGTTATAGATACTGGGTAATTATAGGTGATAAAATAGTACTAAAGAAGGGTGTTAGATCAGATCTTATTAGGGTTTGATTACTTTAGACGGCTACTGATGGAATTAGGTACTAAATTAATGGATAACACTCGCCATATCTGGTATAATTGGAACATAACCACAGTCGATTAAACAACTAATACAGAGATTTGTCGTTAATGTTTCGTAAATTATTGAACAGGAAACGAAGAGTATAATTCTTACTTAACTATTACATCCAGAGACTTGTTGAAGACTTAGAAGTTCTGTAGAGTAATAAGACCTGGGCTGTATTCTAAGGCTTGTATAACGTCAGTTCTATTAGTAATGATCCCGTGTTATTGGTACCATGTAATGAATTATTTGACAGGAAGCGTAGTAGGACACACTCCCCCTCCCCTCCATCATCAATATAAATGTTGCAACTGATACATCGTGTTGCAAGGAACGCATGATAACAGATACCCCTTGTTGCAGGGAAGGAGTAATACCAGATACCCCGTGTTGCAGGGTACGCATGATAACAGGTACCCCGTGTTGCAGGGTACGCATGATAACAGATACCCCGTGTTGCAGGGAAGGAGTAATACCAGATACCCCGTGTTGCAGGGTACGCATGATAACAGATACCCCGTGTTGCAGGGTACGCATGATAACAGATACCCCTTGTTGCAGGGAAGGAGTAATACCAGATACCCCGTGTTGCAGGGTACGCATGATAACAGGTACCCCGTGTTGCAGGGTACGCATGATAACAGATACCCCGTGTTGCAGGGAAGGAGTAATACCAGATACCCCGTGTTGCAGGGTACGCATGATAACAGATACCCCGTGTTGCAGGGTACGCATGATAACAGATACCCCTTGTTGCAGGGAAGGAGTGATAACAGATACCCCGTGTTGCAGGGTACGCATGATAACAGATACCCCGTGTTGCAGGGTACGCATGATAACAGATACACGCGAGGTGGTCAGTGTCGTCGCTGGAGCCATAAAAGTGAGGTGAGTCGACCAAAATGACCTTATAATATCTACCTCTCCTCACACACACACACACACACACACACACACACACACACAGGTAAAACAAGTGTACCTGCTCCATCTACCTGAGTTATGAAGCTAATTTAATTTTCTTTATATGTCTTCTTCTAGCTACCTCTTGTCTTGCCCTCACCTGGTGTCTGTATATACATTGGTGTAACAGTGGTTATGTATGTATGTATGTATGTATGTATGTATGTATGTATGTATGTATGTACTGTAAGTATATTTTATCGTCGAAGTTATTTTTTTTCGTCGGTAGTCTACAAATTTTAGTGTCAACACCTATAAATGACAACGATCGTGTCTCTCTGTCTGTCTCTCTGTCTGTCTGTCTGTCTGTCTGTCTGTCTGTCTGTGATCATCTGGAGGCAACAACAGCCGTCAGCGAAAAGTCTCACATATTTTTGATAAAACAATAAAATTTCACAAACAATAAATTTTAACTGACAACAATGAGAAAAATACAGAGGAAGGCAATATGGCGACCACAAACACACACACACACACAAAATAAAAATTACCCTATTAACAAGGCTATCATGTGATTGTGTACATGCCGGAGGTAATTTAATGGGCAGTGTCGTAATGGTTCGTTCAGGAGGGGGTGAGCAGGAGGCGCGTGTGGGTGAGCCAAACACTGTGGGAAGGTCGGTGGCCAGCAGAAGGTGGAGGTCGCCCCAGGCACGTCGGTTCTTGCTGCTTTCAACACCAAATATTTCAATGACCGAAGCTGATAATTATTGGTGGTGGCTGTTCCTTCTTTATTGCCCCCCCCCCATCCCCCCCGACCGAGCTCTCCGCACTATCGCAGCTCCTCTCACCCTGCAGCCGACCGAGCTCTCCGCACTACCGCAGCTCCCCTTCCACCCGCCTACCGCATTCCCCATTATTTGACTGCACCTTTGCCGGTCCACCAACCCACCACAAGCACCACCTTTCCGCTGCCTACAGCTGACTTCAGCGACCAGCTGCAGTCTAAAGCTGACCTCTTTCACTGCCCGCAGCCTATAATATTACACGGCACCCGACTGTAACTCACAGTAGACCGGCCACTTACTGCACCAGTCTGACGCAGTTCACTTTGTACACAGTATTATGGTGGTGGTTACTGTACTGGCTGATGGTCTTAGAGGTGCAAGGTTTGCTACTGAGCCCTCCACTATCCTTCTATACCGTAGAAATGGCTACTGGTATCCTGCTACCTGACCCCAGCCACCTGCTTCCTAACGCCTGTCACCTGCTACACCAAAGACGCGTGCGGCAGAATTAGGGGGAGGAGGAGTGAGCATTGTGTGTGTTTCGTGGAGGCTGCCATCATCACCGCTATACCCCGCCATCATCATCGCTGGACCCTGCCATCATCATCGCTGGACCCTGCCATCATCATCCACACTGCAGCCATCCTGCCACCATCACCAGGTAATCAAACACCTGATCGATCACCAGCGCCGCCCACACCACGCCCACTCCACGCCCTCGTCACGCCCACACGATGCCCCTCGTTACTCATCCCTCCAAAAAGTGAACTAAGTGTCTGATGACCCGGAAGCCAAGAATTACCTGAGAGATTGTGTGTGATTACCACCTGAGCCGCCACGCTCACACCTGTAATTTGGCCTGATATCAGGGGGCCCACCTGAGGTACTGCCTGCTGGAGGAGGAGGAGGAGGAGGAGAAGGGGGATATGGAATAAGAGGAAGATGTGGAGGAGGAGAGGAGGAGGAGGAGGAGGATATGGAAGAAGAGGAAAATGTGGAGGAGGAGAGGAAGAGGAGACAGAGAATGTGGTGAAGGAGAAGGTAAAGGAGCAGCAGGAATAGAAAGCGGAGGAGCAGAGAAGGAAAAATATGAGGAGTAAGAAAATGAAGAGATAGATGGAAAAAAAGACTGGAAGAAGAAGAAGGAGAATGAGAAAGAGGAAGAGAAGAATGTGGTAAATGAGCCAGTGACCGAGGTACACATACAGCTACTGACGCAGCTAAAGGTAATAGTCCCACCTGTGTAATAATCGTATACACAACTTTCTCTCATAGTAAACAATAAACAAACAACTTTCCCACAGCAAACAACACAAAAACATCTTCTCTCCAAACACCATTTACACGGCAGTAGGTCAGCTCTATAGAACATCCCCCTCGATCCCTCCAGTCTTCCCCAAACACAATTGTCGGTGGTCTGGTGTCCCCCCCCCCCAGAGGAACACCCCCACGTAGGACCCTCCCCCAGAGAAACACCCCCACGTAGGACCCCCCCAGAGGAACACCCTGTTGTATGACCCCCAGAAGTCCCCCCCTGACGTAAGATCCCCCCTCCCTCCCCCGAGGCACTTTAGGGGTCCTACGAGTGTGGTAAAATTTGGGGTTAATTGTAAGGTAAATGTGATCAAGTGAGGGACTGAGTCAGTGGATTAGGTTAGTGAAGGGCTGGCGTGCCGCTTGTCATTACTGCTTCCTCCGTCACCTTCTTCTTCTTCTTCTTCTTCTCGTCTATTATTCTCTGATTTTCTTTCCCTTCTCCTCCTCCTCCTTTTCGTTCTTCTTCTTCTTCTCTTCCATCGGTTCTTCCTCTCTTTATTTCTTCAGCCTCATCCTCTCTCTCTCTCTCTCTCTTTCTTATCCACCTCCTCCTACTTCTCTAGTCTCCTCCTCCTCCTCCTCCTCCTCCTCCTCCTCCTCTTCCTCCTCCTCCTCCCCCTTCTCGTTCTCCTCCTCCTCTTTGTTCTCCTCCTTTCAGTATCTTATTATTAATTTGCTCAACATGCAAGTCTGACTTAAGTGTTCCTCCTTAGATCTTTTAGAAGGGCAAGCAAGCAAGCGAGAGAGAGAGTGTGTGTGTGTGTGTGTGTGTGTGTGTGTGTGTGTGTGTGTGTGTGTGTGTGTGTGTGTGTGTGTGTGTGTGTAATCAAGAAGAAAGATCACAAATGGGAGACCGCATGACCTGGGAGACCGCATGACCTGAGAGACCACATGACCTGGGAAGCCATGACCTCCCACTGGTCACAGGGAAGCGTGAGACGATTTTAAGAGACATTTATTACAGTTTACTGATGGCGACCACTATACTGTAGGTCAGGTGAGTGTTGACCCTCTGCCCGAGCCGCCCACAGCCCGTGTCTCCCACATCCAGTGCCACCCTCTGCCCGTGCCACCCACAGCCTGTGTCATCCTCTGCCCGTGCCACTCTCTGCCCATGCCACCCATAGCCAGTGTTAAAACAAGTGCATTATGCCACAGCCCCCACGACTGGGATGAGCCATAACAAAGACAAATAAAGTACGAGAGAACTGAGAAAGAAGAGAAGAAGAGAAAGAATAAATACAATTGACGAACAAAGGAAGAGTCAAAGTGTAAATAGAAGGTTAATACTGACCGCCATGTGTGTAGTGTAGCTGAGTCTGAGAGGATGTAGAATTCTTACATCTACCGTTATGAGGAAAATTTAACTTGTAAACCTTCCTTTAAATCATCTCTTAAAAAATATCTATTGTCTAAGTATTAATATTTCTTGTAACACTTACTATATATACAGTACCTGCTTTTATTGTACCATCAAAACCGTTTTATCGGAAGTTATCATGTAAATAGATAAGAAATTACCATTGTTGTAAACATAATTGCCAACTAGACATAATCCTGAAAGCTCTGTCCTTTTGTTCAACCTTATTACTGTACAACCCAGGTTGTACTGCTCCCCCATTATATTGATGCTTTTCAATTCCTCTGTAATTTATGTATATACTTATAATATAAAAAAAATAAAAAATAAATAATAATAATAATAAATAAATAAAATTAATAAATATTGAAGTGATAATCGAGGTAATATTTTGAGATGTTCTTATTACCACCATGCTATTGTACTATTCCAGATGATACTAAATGTTACATAATACTTCCTTGAGATAATTGTATAGTATATATCAGGTGCCTACAGGAGAGCTCAGGTTCTCAACTGGCTCAGTCATGTTAATATTGTCATTATTATCCACTCTGTATCTGTGTTCTTCTGGCTAAATAAACTGTTTCAATATCAATATCCGATCTGAAGAAAGGGAGGAAGGGGGGGGGGAGTGTTTAGTCTTGACCGTCCACAAGCGTAAACGTGAGAGTTGTGTGTACGTCTTGGCTAGCGACGGACGTACGACGGATGGGGGAGGTGGGGATCATCGCTCAACATGCCAGAGGAACAATAAGGCTTAAATCTAGTTGTCGTGTGGTCGTTCTTGTCGTCGTCCAGGGAAGTAATAAAATGACGGAGGCGCAGCGGGACCAACTCTCCATCAGGACACCAGTGACTACCTCCAGGATGACTCCCCAACCCTCCCTACTACCCCACCCACTTGCCCCCTACCCCTACCCCACCCACAACCCTCCTACCTATCCTCATCGGCTCCCCCTCCCTCACCTTCCCTTAGCCCCGTTTTTGCTTCCCCTTACCTCCCTTAGCTCTCCCTCACCTGTGCTGACCTCTCCACTATCCTCCTTCATCTCTACTCACCTCTCTACCCTCCACCTCCTCACCTCTCTGTCCCCTTCATCATCAATATTACTATCACCATCATCACTATCATCACCATTATCATCATTAGCATCATTAGAATCGTTATTATTATTATTATTATTTATTTATTATTATTATTATTATTATTATTATTTATTATTACCAGGCAGGTTGGGGTGAGGACATAACACAACACAGGGACCTGGAGGAGGAGAGGAACGGAGGAGAAGACCCACAGGTTTTTGTCAGGAGAATCACCTGGGGTCACCTATTACCTCACTAATTAACCTGCTGGGGGAGTGAGAGGGTAGCAGGGTGGTCGAGGAGGAGGAGGTCGGGTACGGTGTTACAAGATGCTTTGTGTCTGTGTCTGTACCTGTACCTGTACCTGCACCTTCACC